AATGAGATAAAATGCACTTGAAATAGGACAATGCAATGTGACAATGTGTTTTCTCATTTTCAATGTAAATTGTCTTGTTCAATTGGCAAAATATCTCTTTTTCCTCCTAAATCCAAGAACAAATGCATTTATTCTAAGAAAAAAGTTACTTATCGAGATTTTGATTTTTTCCAGTGTTGGACGACAATGGCAAATGATTGAAGTCACCTGGACATACTCAGTGTTGAGTCAAGGAGGGCATATTCCCTAAATAGGGAAGACTGTAAAACATTTTGCTTCAACTAACTAGAACCACATTATTTTGCTATTCTGATTGTTTTTGTGAACATTTTGGATTGTCATATCACTGGGCAATGGTCAACTAGTCAGTTTTAAAGGGCTGTATGTTTTTTTTTTTTTTGTTGTTCTATTATTCTTCTTCTTGTGGTACACATTTAAACATGCAGCGCTGCTTGTACTGCCTTGTTTTGACAGGTCTAAATTTACCTCAAGCTTGAGTTTACTACTGGATTTGATTAGTCCAAGGAGCAGATTTGTTACTTGTTTATTTCTGTTTGCTGTATACTTATTTTTTTTAATACATTGTACAGTACATAATTGTATATATTTTGGAAAATAAACAGCTTTAATTTAATCAATATAAATTTTGAGGAAAATGAATGAACGATGAATGATTGTAATTCAACCCTTTATATATTGACCACCCAAACAATACCTCGCTACCCTTGTTTTCAAAGTCTAACTCTGCCACTAGTTTGAAGAAGGACAGCTCTGGGTAAATAATTAAAACCCCAACAGGCTGAGATCTGATAAGCAATTCAACAGATTTTCCTCATATCCATAATAGGTCCCGCTAAGATCTAAATGGGGCCAGAAATTAGATGTTCTACGTTGCTGGTAGAGATTCTTAGCCAGTCAGGACTTGGTTTTTAAAGTTTTTTTTTAAGGTGCTTTGTTATACCTGGGTCTTCTATAGGAAGCCCAGAAGTCCCTGTGAGAATATACTTGAGCCATATCGATACAGATCTCTTAATGGAGTAATATTGCACAAATTCTTAATATAAGCAAGAAAAACACTTTTCTACAACTACCTTACTATGTATGCATATCCAAGCACTCAGTATTAGTGAAAATATTTCAGATCAGTGCTACACTTAATCAAATCTTCACTGCTGAAACATCTCATCTATGAAAAGTGATCAAACTTTATTAACAGTCAAAGTACAATTATTGAAGGTGTGTTTGTAGCGAATGCTGTCATTTGTGCATTGGAAAGTACTGTGCAGCCATATCAATACAGTGGATCATTAGTTTTTATTGGATAGATTCAGAACCATTGGCGTGTCTGACTTTATGAGTGAATGGTTTGAAAATACTTATTGAGGTCTAAAATGTTACAGTATGATGATTTACAATGGAGTGCCCCAAAGGTATATTTTAGTGCCTATCATTTTCAATATATATATGTTAGACTATAATTCACAATGTCTAATGTGATTGTTTTTTGGCTTTTTGCAAATGACTGTTATTTTCTCCATTTCTTCCTCAGCAATCAAGCTACCGTTAACCTCCAAGCAACTCCAGACCTCCATTTGAAATTGCTCTAAAATACCAAGTGTCAAAATGAATGACGTTCACTAAAGAATGCTCAAAAAGAAAAATATAAAAGTGTTAAGACCCTAAAAGGAGAAAGGGTGAAACTGTGTCTTTATCTAAATATTTGGGCTTTTTAATGGACAAATACCTGAAATTTCATAATAAGATTTAACATTAATCAGTTTTTACAGGTATGAATTTTGTTCTTTTGAAGACAATAAATCTGTAAACATCTAGGATTAAAAAAAAACCAACATAGTACAGACAAGCTTTCCTTGTTGTACATAGAAATGTAACTTCCTCATGTCTTCCCTGCTTGGACATGGATCACCACAGTGCTTTGCATTTTATTACAAAGTCTCTCCCTGTTATCTGTTTGCATAACATTTGGCTATAAGGAGATTCTGAGAAAACTACTTATATACGTTTCCCCCAACCTCCAACAATAACTGGATGACTCCCATTTTGCTTATTCACAAAGTCCCCTGAATCCACATAGGATTGGGGATATCCTCGTTTTCATATGCATCCTCTTGGTCTCAAAATCAACTGCAGAACTCATCTCAGCTGCAGTGTTTAATTTGCTAAGGGGATTTAAAACTCCTCTGAGGCACTTTTTAAATAAAGAATGTGTTTTGCTTGCGCCTTTGCTTTGTTCTGTAATATTGTCAAGCGTACTGTTGTATTTTCACAGAAAACTCATTCATGCATTTATCTTTAGCTGTGTTTGGTTTGCCTAAGAGAAAGTATAACATCAGCCCGGTTCTGAAGTCTTTACATTGGCTTCCTGTATATCAGAGAATAGGTTTTCATATCCATCTATAGCATATAAATCACTGAATGGATCAGCACCTCAATACATAACAGATTTGTTGTCTGTGTGTCCAGGGCGACTGAGGTCCTCTGGTTCAAGACTTCTCTAGAACCAAACATGGAGAAACTGTTGCAGTTAAACTGTTAACTGAGGTATTATTATTAAAAGGTTGTGGTCCATTTGTTTTAGACATATTATTTTTATCTATATTAAATTTTATTCTCCTTTTTTTTCTTCTATTTTATTATCTAATTATGTAAAGAACATTGAATTGTCCATGTACTGATATTGTGGTAAACAACTAAACCAGCCTTGCCCTACACATGTTTAACTCTGGTTAATAAATCTAACGCACCCTTTAACTGTAGAATATCCACATTTTTACCAGAGTTTTAATCTGCTTGCTCCGTTATAGCAACAAAAGTAAACTTGAACCGGCTGTTGATTATATGAACTTGAACAGACTGTCAAGCATTATAGATAGACATACAAAATGTATGGTCATTTGTTTATGCTATGGTGACTCAGAGAGGACCGGATTAATCATTTACTCAGCTAATCTGAGCTCACTAGTGTGCTTTTACCTGTGACTGGAGGGGATAGAGGCTATTTAGAAGAAATGCATGTCTAGGCTTTGTGTGAAAAGCAAATTCTTTATAGCATCAAAATAAAGCTCCATCCACACAGAGACAAGATTAGGCGAACCAGCATAGGTATTCAAACATTTAGGCTGTGTGTGCAAACGGATCCAGCATGTTGGGAAACTATAAAGGATCATATTAGAAATCAGGTCTTAGAGTGGAAAGCTTTCAGAAGGCCGGTCTCATGTTTCAGTGTGTACATGCGAGCTGTACCTTTTGCTAACAATGGCGATGTAGCTCCAGCCCACTCTGTAACAGGCATACCCCAGTTACAGCGCCTGGCTAATGTACTACATGGTTTTCAATGGTGCTGTATACACTTGTGTGGATGCAGACACCATGTTTGTCTTTGTGTGGACTAGGCCTAAATTAAGTTAGACATCATTGTGCAAATTAAAGGATAGTCTTTGATGAATCTTATGCCCCATTTATGCTACCCCCCTGAAACCGACCCCTGCCGAGTTCGGACAATGCTTGGATCAGTTAACCGTGTCGAGCTTGGTTCCTTAGGACCATATACATAACACGCTAGCACGGTTCTGGGCTGCTCAGTTCTCTCTAGGTACGGCTTCCTCCCAAAGTCCAAAAACAGGTCAATGAATGGTTGTTTGTCTCCGTGTTGTCCTGCGATGGACTGGAGACCTGTCCAGGGTGGACCTCGACCATTGACAGCTGGAGATAGGCAGCCGCATCCCTTACCACTCCACTTGGGATTAAGCGTGTAAAGAAAATGGATGGATGCTAGCATAGTTCCTCGCCTCCTAGTGACGATCTAAGGTACTCCTGCTAGGATTAAAGGAGGGAATCAAGCAAATCAAAATGGCAGCACCTGTAACATTTAAGAAGTTATGTTTGATTATAATTGTGACATTTTGTTGTTTTACTTTATAAAATGTAGAGTCGAGAAGATTTCGATTGCTGTTGTTGTTCTTCTGTCTTATGGCGGTAATGAAGCAACTTACTGATGTGCATTACCGGTAACAACTAGAAGCTGACTGTAAAGAGATGATGCAGTCTGCTCATGCGCTCTTTATCTGAGAACCGAGCCTGAACCATGTCTGTCCCTACTGTTAAACCAATACTACATTTAGTGCGGTTCAGTTGTGTTTGACACGGTCCAGTTCCATTTACACTCATCAGTGCTCGGACAGCCCTTGGCACAGTTTCAAAAGGGTAGTGTAAATGGGGCTTTAGACACCTGTGCACAATGCAGAATCCAAGTTATGGCACAGGGCATAATTGATGTCTGAGGTCTTTGTGCCATTTGAGTCTAAAGGCCATTTTTCATAACCAATGACTATCCTTTTCACACTGTCATCGCATCATCTGAGGAGTTTGCCTAGCAGCTTTAGAAAAACAAGAGAAACAACGTTTAGTGCTTTCCACATATTTTTCTCCCGCTGCACACCTGACAGTGAGGCAGAGATTGGCTGAGACGCTGTGGGTTCTTATAACTGCCTGCTCTGAGCAGTGTGCCGCTTCCAGCTGTCACCTGGGGATCCTTGTCAGCTCAGTGTCACAGTTAACGCAGTTGGGTATGAAGACTTGTTCCTCCCAAGACGTACTGAGTGTGGGGAGACGCCACATACACACTAAAAATGTTGCTTTCAGTTTAGGTTGATTTTAGCTACCCCCAGTGGACAAATGCTGTATTGGTTTGCCTGAAGAAAGACAGCGTTTCCCATGAGGAGCAGGTAAAATCCTGATCTCCAGGTCGCCTGCAGCTGCATTCCCACCCCCACCTCACCTGACTCATCAGCAACTGACATGCTGATAAGTTTAGAGCCTTAAAACAGATACAAAATAATGTTAAGCTTGATAATTTCACAGTAAACACACATACAGATCCCAGCAGGGGGATGCCACATTGTCTGAATACCAGCAATAAACAATTTCCACAAATATACAGTCTTCAGTGTTTTCAGTGTATTGCAGGCTTGTCCCCTATGCTGTCAATAAAGCATATGTGTGTAGTGAATAATTAGGTGACAGCAAGTAAGGTACTTAATCAAAGGTAACCAACCTCGTAAAAAATGTGGACAATAACCTGTGGCTCAGCTTAATTAGTTACCACTCACATTATGCTGCAAGTTGTCTACAGCAAGGCTTGCCTCGTCCTCAGCATTGTAGTTCAGGACTGCATCAGTGTAAGTCCTCCGGAAGGTTCCCTTTATCTGCAGCATGCAATCACACACATGCTCAATACAATAAATTCAGAGACTCGTAAAAAATATGTGCACAAAGTAGCAGGGAACTGAGTCTGACCTCATGACGAAACACAAATCCAGAGATGCCAGCCACAAGCTCAGCAAGGAAAACCAGGGAGAGAAACATGGCATACTACAGAGAGAGGAACAAAGGCAGGAGATTTGCATTGATTGCATCAAAACCTTAAGGTGAATATCATTTGCATTTCATTGCACATAAACACTCAAACACACTCAGTTGCCACCATTAACGGAACGAGGTACCCAGAGGCGCCTACTGAATAACTTAAACCTTCATGCAGGATAAAGGTGAGTCATTATTACTTTTCTCATGTGACCTGAGGTTAATTAATAACAGTCTGCATTGCTTCTCACTCCCACTGCAGAACAATACTCACACATTTCCTGCTACTCTTACCAGTTTCAGCATCCATGGGCTTCCTCTGCAGGTGGCGAAGCATCCAAACAGGCCGAAAACGATTATGACAGTGCCGGTGCCAATGAGGACGTAGGGGGCATTGGTTGAGTTGTCGGCTATCAGGGAGATGTACGGACCCAGCATCAGCTTTCCCCACACTCCTACTGCCAGCAGGATGGCTCCTGTTATCTAAATGGATTAAAGAGAAAAAGCACAGGGAGCAGAATGAAAGCAGGAAGGAGGCATTAATCTCTGCACTTATTTCAACAGTTGTGTTTCTGCAGCGTGCAAAGGGAAAGATGAAGAAACTGGGATCAAGGTGGAACAAAAAGGAGAGCAATTAGAGTAGGAGGAGGAGCCGGAAGATAGGAGACAACGACAACAACAACAAAAAAAAACCCATCATCAGGAATGCGAGGTGCCAATCACCTGCTCTGTGAATATGCCTACACTCTAGCACAGGAACACCAAATCAAAGGAGCTCTTTGATCCGAGGCGAGACGCTTCCTCCTGTTGCGCCTCTTTTAGCATTTCAAATGAATGCGGCGGATAAAAGAGCGTGTTGTTCAAGGCAGATGAAGCAGCGTGTGTCTCAGCTGGGTTTGTCTCTCTGGCGCTGGAAACAGAGCGGGGTGTTGAATGTCTGTGGATGATCCGACTCCAGCGAGGACCGCCTTATCCAGCTAACCATTGTCTGCTAAAGAGGAGGCGGCTCAACATCCAGCTGCCAGGCCTTCTGACTACAAAAGGATCATTCTGTGCTGATATTCTCTGCATCTTTAAAACTAATGTGACAACAACACTCTTTTCCTTTCTCTTTCCTGTCCCTTCGACTAAACTGTGCTTTTCTGAGACAAAAGGGAACAGAATAACCTGATGCACTCAAAATTAGCTGGAAGACTAGATGCACAGAAGTTGATTCCTCTGGTCAGATAAAACAACCTTCTTTTTTATTATTTCAAACACATGGATAAAAACTGATATAAAACACAGTTGTGAATGGATTATAATGCATGGAATTTTTTTCAGTGCAGATATGGAAGTTGGTAAGTTAGATTCAAATAATTGCAATCCTGGAAAGAAATATGATGGAGACAGGAAATCACTCAATACATGGGCGAAGAGTCACCTTCCAGATATGTGTTTAGATTAAATCTTAGAATCAAATACTTTATTTTTATTATAGAAAGACCCAAGATTAAAAAGCAGCTCTGTTGAGTTTAATTAGAATCTCTATCTCAGTCTCATGGACTCTGTTTCTTATCTCAAGGCTCAAGTTTCTTCAGGTATTACTCTTTAGTTTAATAATTTATTGGTTTCCATAAATTCTCTTTTTTTATGATTTAGTCAATCAGTTTCTTCCTTATTGTTTATGCCTGTGTAAAAATTCTCAATCATCCGGGTCATGGCAACCACAAAATTGGATGGCAACCGGACATTTGCTCAGTTTTCTCTGATGTTTCGACACCTATTGACACCTATCAATTCTGTTGGCTTCACCAGAGCGGAATGTAATCGGACCGCTGATGTATTTCAGCAGCATTGAGGTCCATCCTCCTAAAAACATTCCAACACAGATGCAAATGAAATAGCCATCCCTTGTTCTACTAGATTGTTGTGAACAGGCTACGTGATTGGCTTTTTGAATCATGATGATTATATCATCATGATATGTCATTTCTATTAAATTAGTTCCATAACTTGTTGATACTCCCTTACTGTTGCTTCTTAGTTAATTCATTAAGGACCAGGTTTCGGATTCTTTCTCTATTGATTCACATTGTGTTGAATCTCCTGTGTATCTTTCCAGTCCTCCTCTGTTTGCTTTCGTTCCCTCAGCTCGTTACCTTGATACTCATCAGCTGTTGTCAATTTCTCACTTGTTAGCCTTGCATTTTCCCTTCATTTTGTTGGCTTCCTGTCTACATGTCTCGGTTTTTGTCATTCATGAACTTGTTCTCTCTAAGTTTATTTTGAGTTCCCAATTAAAATTGTTTTAATTTTGCCTCCACTATGTTCTGCATGTGGGTCTTCCTTCAACCACAGCATGACAAATGCAGCACAGAGTAACATATTAGAATGGACTAGTCACAGCAAATCCATTTGAGCAGCAAAAGGTAAAAATCATCTATAACAGATTTTAGCTGAGCTATTTTGATACTTTCTGTTTCTTAAATTGCGGGTTGTACTTTAGGTGCATGATGATGCGAAAAGCCGCCCCTATAGTAGAGTATATCTGGCACAGCTATATAGTAAAAGGCCTTAATGTGTTGTTAATACCATGTGACTATGCAGAGTAGATTCCAGAATAAATGTGCAGAAATTGGCAGAATATATATATATATATATATATATATATATATATATATATATATATATATAATATGTTTGGAAGAAATAGAAAGCCATTTTCATGTGTTCATTCATCCAGTGCTGTTTTGTTCAACATGTTTTCCTAGTAGTCATGAGCGGCTTTTAATTGTTTTTTTTCCAAACAGTTTAAAAGCCTGAACTTATTAAGTTAATTACTAGTATTGCTAAAAGACTAGCTTTTTAATTTTTTTTTTTTTACTTTTAAGCATTTATACTGTATATTTTTATAAAGAAAAAGTTGTGAAAATGGCCATTGCAGACAACTTATGGGCAGTTAGATGCTGGGGTATTATCGTCTTGTTTCTGTTAAGTTTTCTTTGAGTTTTCAGTTTCATGTTGATTCATGTTTTTCTTTGTTTGGGGGGAACAGCTCACACAGGGGGCTGTCGCATACAGCTGTGAGGTTTATTTCTGTCCTCAAACTGAAGGTTTAAATGTTCATAAAAGTTTTCCAGGGGCATAAGAGTGGTGCAATAAAATGAATATATCCAGCAGTGGCAGATGGCCAATAGAGGGCGCTAGGGCGCCGCCCCAACAACCAAATGACCTTGACTAAGACATAAAAAAATGTTTTTTTGATGTGCAACATAAATATTTAATCTTTAATGATGAGTAAAGCTGTTTGGTTTTTTCGCCGGATTGGTGACGTATTTCTAGCCTGACGTAGTCCGACTCAATTCTAGTCAGAATATGAGTCTGATGCTGCTCCATAGAGCTGTGATTATGGGACGTGTTTCGAACGAACCAGGAAAAAAAATGCCTCTGCCCTC